CCTCTTGCTGCAGCCACTTGCCAATGTTTTAACCAGCAGGCACCTGATACAAAGGGTGCCACACAGGGCAGCAAAATATGGACATGAGAACAGCTCAAACTCCAACAGACAGGACACACTGCAAGCAGAAGTTCTCTAAGCCACATTTTTGACCAGTTCTCTTTGGGGAACATAACTTGGGAACTTGGAGACAAGTCTGAGATGGGACATTAATTCAAAACTTGGAGTCAGTGGTGGCTGGAGGGATGGCTCAGAGGTTAAGAGCAATGGCTGTTATTATAAAGGTCCTGAGTTCAATTCCCAGCAACCACATGACAGCTCACAACCATCTATGCGATCAGGTGCTCTCTTTTGGCATGCAGACAGAACACTGTACACAAAAAACCAAACCAACCAACCAAAGAAAAAAACCCTGGAGTCAGTGGATAGCTTTAGCGGTCCTCCTCTTAAGTGTGGGATAGGGCAATAACCGGTTGGAAGTACATTTTCACACCATTGTTTTTTTTTAATCTATTTTGTTTTGCCCAACACACAATCATTTTGTAGTTAAAGTTTTACTCTGGAGAGCCACCCTTGAATCAGAGAACTTTGAACTATCCCTACCATTAACCTGATGCAATAGGTTCAAATTGTGCTGAGTACAAAGTCAAAAAGACAGTAGGGCTGCTGGGCATGTGGCATGCACCTCGAGACCATAGAGCACACATTTAAAGGAGTAAGAGGGAAGAGAGGAACTGTGCACATTCATTGTGCATTTTAAGTTTTAACTAAAAATAAAGACCACTTCAAAGGTACACAAATATAGACGTTAGAAATAGGAATAAAGGGACATACCTACAAAGCAAACACTCACGAGACTGAGCCAGGAGGGACACTGAATTTAAGGCCAGCATAGGTTACACAGTACCAAACCAGCCAGAGCTGACACTGGCTTAGAAAACCCAAACAGTAGTTAACCCTCCTAAAGGTGCTTGCCTAAGCTAATACCACTCTGACCTACCCAACCGGGCCATATGATCTCAGATGAAATTACAATCAAGAGGCATAGCTTGCAGATAGGCTTTCTGTGGTCCAATAATCTACTGTCAACTTTAAGGGATCAGTGAGTGACTAATCTCTGCTCCAGTGCCACAGGTTAGAATTCAAGTTATCACATGGCTAAAGCCATGCTACCTTGAGAAAACAGCAACGTTTGAAGTTGTTTTTTGCTGTTTGGGTTATCTGGGGCCAACAAGTTTCAGGCTAAAGGTGCATGACAGCAAGTCTGATGAGTTCCATGCTTCCATGGTGGAAGATGGAATCACATGAGTTGTCATTACCTGCATACACACACAAAAAATGTAATAAAAATTTATAGCTATTTGTAGTTTTTAAAAAGGAACACAAACTTAAATGGGCCCTCAAGAGGTGGCACTCTCTACTGGGCAAGTTTTGTGTTATCTAAGTCTACCAATGATAACATGAAGTAAATATTCAGTGATGATTTGCAAATCCACCAAAACTGGCAATATGATACCCTCTGATTAATTCACTTTGTACTCTAACTTCAAGTAAAGACCAAGTTAATTCACAAATTACTTGTCATTAAGATTTTGAAAAAAAATTTAATTATTTTAAAATTACAGAATCTGGAGGGAAATGTACTACCATCTTACTCTCTAACCACTTTAGAATCTTTGCAAAGTAATTCTAAGTATTTAGTCAATTGGGTTTTTGTTTTGAATGCCTAGGGTGGTGGTTCTCAATCTGTGGAACACAACTCCTTTGGGAGCCGAATGACCCTTACACATCAGAAAACAGATATTTGTGATTTGAAACAGTAAAATTATAAAGTAGCAATAATAATTTTATGGGGCTGGAGAGATGGCTCAGTGGTTAAGAGCACTGTGCTCTTCCAAAGGACTGGGGTTCAATTCCCAGCACTCACATGCAGCTCACAACTGTCTATAACCTCAATCCCAAGGGATCTGACACCTTCACACTAAAATTAAATGAACTATACAAAAAATAATTTTATGATGGGGGTCACTACATGAGGAACTCTATTAAGGGGTTGCAGTGTTTAGAAAGGTAAAGAGTCCCTGGCCTAGGGTGTAGTGAAGCCACCTCTCTTATCATTGCAGCGACCAAACACCTAACAAGAAAACAAATGGGTTTATTTTGGCTTACAGCTCAAGGAGATATAGAGCCCATCAAGGCAAGAAAGACATAGCAGCAAGGGCATGGGGCAGGTCACACGGCATCTAACCAGGATAAATAGGACAGGAAGGAGCCAGGTAGGGCATGGTGGTACTGACTTAACTCCAGCACATGGGAGATGAAGGCAGGTGGATCTGTGAGGCCAGCCTGGTCTGCATAACAAATTCCAATCACCTCGTGTAACAGTCAGATCTTGTCTCAAAAAAAGTAGAGCCAAGATATTAAACTTTAAGACCTGCTGGGCATGCACCCTTGTAATCCCAGCACTTGGGGATACAGAGGCAGGAGGATCTCTGTGATTTTGAGGCCAACCTGGTCTTCAGCCAAGGCTACACAGGGAAACCCTGTCTCAACAAACCAAAACCAAACAAAATCTTTTAAGACCCACCTCCCGTGACTCCTGTCCTCCAGTGAGGCTCCATCTCTTAGCGGTTCTACAATACCCCAAAATGCCTAAGGGCATGTCACCTGAAGCTACAACAGGTGCATCTAACTGTTATCGCTACACAAAGTACAACTTGGTATTTTTATAATTATTTATGCCCCTTACTGTTCAGCTGTACTGGAGCTACAAATTTACAATTTACTTTGCTCAGCAATGAGTACACTTAACATCTGTGAAACTAGAATCAAACAATTGATAGATGAGCAGCCATGCAGCAATTGCAGCTTTCCCACTATTAGCCTTTTACAGCAGTATCTGTACTAGTTACTGTGTCTCAGCAAGTCTTGAAACTCCTAGAACAGATCCCAAAGCTTTTCTTTTCCTGCACTGTACTAACCTGAAGAATTATAAAACCACGCATTTGCTCTAAGTCAGAGATCTTGACTTTTTTGTTTACGAGGCAAAGTATAAAAATGACCTCATGTCTTACCTCACACACTGAAGCAGGGTCTCCTGGCTGACCCTGCAGCTACACAGGAGTGGTAGTGCACGGCTGTAACCTCAGCACTCAAGAAGCAGACACACTTTCCACGTTCAAGACCAGCCAGAACTACGTAACAAACCCACTCTCAGAAGCCAAGAAAATGTATTAGCAAGTTCTCATTTTCTCATTTGCCGTTGTTTTTTTTTTTTTTTTTTTTTTTTTTTTTTTGCAGTTTTTCTGTGTAGCCTTGGCTGTCCTGGACGAGATTTGTAGACCAAGCTGTCCTTGAACTAACAGATCTGCCTGCCTCAACTGCTGGGATTAAAGGCCTGTGCCACTATGAGGGGTTCATTGACTTTTGTGGCGGTACTGTAAATTAATCTTAAGGCCTTCTCTGCATGCTAAGAATTCTATCACCTCCCTTTTTTGTTGGGGGAAAGGGGCTTTAGGCAGGGTTTCTCAGAGATCCACCTGCCTCTGCCTCTCGAGTACCGGGATTAAAGGCCACTATCTCAGAATTTAAACCCCAGAATCTTATTTTCAGACAGGGCCTCAAATTACTCTGTAATTCTTCCTGACTCAGCCTCTCAGTAGTTGGAATAATAGACCTATGGGAGCACACAGACTTTCACACCAAAATAATACTATGATTTAAAAGATTTTCAATATAAAAGCCTTTATATTTGCTAGAACAAGCCATTTTCGGAAATTACCAAATCATCTAATCAGATGTATTTCAGAAATGTATTTATTCTAATTTTTGGCTCACTCTTCTGGTAAACATTGGTTTACAAAATACAGCACAAAAGGAACTTGAAGGTATTTTTACAACTCACTCATGTTATTCTTCTCCACCACAATATATAAAGGTAGCCCATTTACAGAATATAATTTTGCTCTGGTATCCAATGAGCCATCCTCAAAAAAATAAATCACTTAAAAAATGTTATCTGGCAAAATACAAACATCCCTGATTATTTTAGTTCAAGCTCAGGAACCTAAGCATATCTGTTATTGCTAAAGTACAGAATAACTTTTACACACTTAAATTATGCTTAGGTTCAACCTTCCAACTCCAATATAACTACTGAATATGAGAGGTCGTTTCCTTTTTCTGTACATTATTGCCATTACTGTTCAGTGTGCAGCATCTAGAAAGCCAGAAGGCCACCAAGACAATCAAATACCTTAGAGCAGACTTTAAAAATAAACCACACTAGATGAACAGAATCCCCTAAAACAGAAAAACAGTAAATTCTACATTCTGCTTCATTACTAACAGAGTCAATCCACATGAATACATTAAAGAACTGACCATGGCTCTCTAGTCTTCTCCATAGTCTTCTGAAATCTGCAAACACAAAAACCACCTGGTTCTAGGCATGACCTTTAACTTCCCTACCCATAAAGATGTGTGTGTGATATTATGAAAACTACTTGGTTGTAGTTTACTTTGAATAGTAGTTAGGAGCCAACTTACAAGACTTGGTTGTGACTTCAGGGTGGAGGGAAAAAAAAAACCCACAACTTCTTGAAAAGGTAAAATAGCTTAAAGCATTTAATATCTAAACAAATCAGTCTGTTAATAGTAGTAGTCACAAAATATGCTTAATATAGAAACCCACATTTGTTTTAAGAAAGTGTAAATTGCATTTTACCTCAAAACATAAATTAACCTGCCTAAGAATCAGCAGCGGTCAAAATCATGGTCAATTTTAAACAACTTCAGAATAAAACAGCAGTAAGTACTTTATACTGATTTATAGCTAAAAAAAAAAAAAAAAAAAAAAAAAAAAGACGAAAGAAAAGCATGGTACATTCCCACCAAATTGGAAGTAGAAAATTTCTTCTACAGAACTACACATCGTACCTAATATATCATTAAAAATAGAATACAGTATTTTCTTCAGCAAATAAAACAGCACACTGGTATGCTGTCAATGTATACCCTTTAATATACACTGCCATTCATAAATTATTTACAACTTCTACTTTAGTGAAGAGAACTAGAATTTAAATTTTCTGCAAAACTGGAAAAAAGCAATACAAAAATCTGTGAAAGCCAGTGTTTTATATTCTATAAAAGCCAGTTTTTCTCTTCCAACACCAGATCCTGGATGCAGTGGTTACAGTAATTCTTGAGGATGTTTCAATGCTGGAGGCAAGTTCAGAGGTCTTGACTCTTCATCAAGGAGCACTAGGTCTTCTATCTCACTGCCTCTGTACTTCCTTCTACATATCTTCACCACCACCTTCTTCTTGAGAAATACCTTCAGTGCTTCTCTCGATGCAACTGCTTTCGCATTTTCTTTGCTTTTCCCACAGCCAGTGCCCAAATACACCGACTTACACCTCAATTCACAAACAATACTTTCTTGAGAGCTCTTATTTTGAGGCAGATCTGCCAGTTCTTTTAGTGGGACAAAAAACACATCCAGTGTTGCTTTCAGAGCCTCAATAGCTGCATTTAGCAGCTCTCCATGATTCACGTTGGGGCTAAAGCCACCAACAGCTACTAACTTCCATGCCACTGTTTTATACAGTCTATTGAAGAAAGGTTGCTTCTGTTTTATATCTTCATTGGTTAACTTTCGACAAGAGAATTTGACAGAACTCTCACTGGACTGTGAGGTACCTTTAGAAGGCAACTGTGAGGCGCTACTCTGAGAACTACTCTTAGAAGCTAGCTGAGACATGCTTGCTAAGGAAGTGCTTTTGGAAGCCATAGATCCACTGCTCTGGGAGCTGCTTTTGGAAGCTAACAGTGATGCAGCTACCTGAGAAGAGGTTTTGGAAGCCAGAAGTGATGTAGTTGTTGAACTGCTCTTGGGAGTTAGTAAAGAGGTGCCTGATGAGGAACTGTTTTTAGAAACTGATGGTGAAATATTTGCCTCTGAACTAGTTTTGGATGTTAAGCCACTTGAAGCGGTCTCTGAACTAGACTTAGAAGACAGTAATGGCAACTCTACTTCTAAGCTTCCAGAGGAACCCAACAAGGGAACCTCAATCTCTGAGCTGCTCTGAGAAGCTGAGATTGACGAACCTTCTAGAGCACTCTTTTTTGGTGATCCACTCTGCTGTCTGGAATCAGTGGACTGGGTCATATGACTATTCATACTTGACTTCAACAATGAAGAAACAAACGCTGCTGCATGTTTATCTGGAGCGTCTGGGTCAGAAGCTTTTCCAGACCCTGCTGCTGTTACCTGAGAGGAATTGCTGCTGCTGCTGCTTTGGCTGCAGGCAGGTCTATCTCCTTCACTCTCAGAGCTAGTCTGATTAGAGACGCCAGAGCTGCTCCGAGCCGAGGTCCCACTGCTCTCTGATTTGGTAGAGGACCCTGCAGACGCTGAACTGTTTTCCTGCTGAGCTGAAGAACGATCTGTTTTTGCAGATTTCTTTCCATGATCTCGCTCAACTGAAGAATTATTTTTTCCTTCTATGGCTCGTTTTTTGGATGGTTCTTCTATCCCTTCTAGAAAGAAGAAAAACACAGGTATTTCACTACCGGTCCCACATACATGTCAATCAACAAACATTCATTTAAAAAGCATAAAAAGCTGGGTAGGCACAGGCCTTTCATCCCAGCACTCAGGGGGCAAAAGCAACAGGATTGCAGCCTGGTCTACAAAGCAAGTTCCAGGACTGCCAGGGAATACACAGAGAAGCCCCATCAAAACAAAACAAAAGCAAACAAACAACAACAACAACAAAAAAAAAAAAGCACAAAAAAAATTTCAGGACTACTAATTTCTTTTAAAGTATGGAACAATTTCAGTAATATATTAAAACAGCATTAACATTATTAGTTTCTAATATTAAACTAACACAATCATACATTGGACTTGAAAATAAAATCAGCAACTAAAACAGACAAACGTACAGTTTAGCTTTAACATTTCAACTAGATTAAAACATTATATACAGTTTGGCTTGTTAAGAAAAATTAGTATCGACAGCAATTCCTAATTATGTCAAGCTTATGTTCTAAACTCCTATGAATGTTCACATCTATGATCTGCTAACCATTGCTACTCGATATCCCTCTTTTCTTCACCTTGGCAACCAGTTCGTCTCGTGTAGTATGGATTGGAGCATCTGTCACTTTGATGCCTTCAGCCATACTAAGAATTTTATCCATAACTTTTTGAGGGTACCTGAAAAAGAAGCAAAAGTCGCTTTCAAGAAGTGTTTTTCGAAAGTACTCGCCGTGTGAGGAATGCAGGCCTAGGGAAACTGCATTTCCTGATTGACTGCATTCGAAGCGCACGATCCGCGGGACGGCTTCGTCTCCCGAGATGTCACCAACAAACGCCCCGGGGGCTCGGGAGGCGGGTCTGCGCTAGGCAATCTTTCATCTCGGGCTCTTCCGGGCCGAGCACTGTCGGCGAAACGCCAACAACTCGGCCTGGCGGGGTTCACACCCCGGCATTCGGTGTCGGCGCCCCCCCACCCCGGGGGCCCCGGCAGTCCCCCCGGTTCCCGCGCTCCCCAGCGACGCAGGCCCCCCCCCCCGAGGGCTCCTCGGCCAGCCGCCGGGGGCGCGGGGGTACCCCGGAAGGCCCCCCACTCACCGGCACCCCAGGAAGACGTGGTTTGCCCAGGCCATGGAGAAGGAGACGAGCTGCTGCAGCTGCCGACTGCGCGCCCCGCTCTCCGCAGCCTCGTCGGGCGCGGGGACCAGGTCGCCCGCGTTGCGAAGCAGAAACTCCCGGCGGTGGCGCCAGTGTTTGTCCGTCTCGCCGTCGCAGCGCTGCGTCTCCACCCAGGCGGCCACTCCCGGGTTCTGGCTCAGATACTCCGACACCTCCTGCGCCATGTTGGGGCCTGCGGGACGAGGAGAGCGCGGGCGCACGGAGCACAGGGCGAGAAGCGGCGGGGCGGCGGCCCTGTCAGCGCGGCCTACCCCGGCGGCCGTCCGTCCGGAGAACGCCCCTCCACCAGCTCAAACCCCAAACAACAGAGCACCGCGCCGACGAACCGCCCACTTCCGCCTGCCGCGGGCGCGCTCCCTTTTATAATCTCGCCGCGGTCGCGCCGCCTTCCGGCGCGAGCCCGGCCTCCCAGGATGCTTTGCAGCGCCGGGCCGCCAGCGACTCAGCGGTTGCGCCCACCTCGGAGGGCGCGCCGCCCGGCGGAGGCGGCGCTTCGGGCGACTCTGGGGAGGCGTGGCTCCCCGCCCTGTGAGAGAGGGCGCGCGGCGTTGGTGTGGCCGCGGCCGCGTTTCGGCTGCGCTTTGTGACGCCGCGCTGTTTCCGCTCCGGGGCCCTACCACCTCAGCGTTCCGCCGGCGCTTGGGGACGCCGCGCATTGTTTCCGCCTCGCCCCGGGGCCGGGGGCCAGCGGGCGGAGCGCTCCGGCCTGGCGTCGTCGCCCGTCCGCTGGCGCGTCTCCGCCTTCAGGCCCTCGCAGCTTCGCGCGGCCAAAGTAAACAGAAGCTGGCTCCCGTGCGTGCGCCGTGCGCCAGGGAAGCTGAACCAAGGGTTCCGAGGCCGGGAGAGGCTCCGGGCACTTGGGAACGCTGGGAGGCCTTGTGGGATAGGGACAGTGCAAATAACAAGCGCGTGTGTAACTTTAATGACCAGCACCAGCGACCCCTCGGGTTGGTTCTGGCTGGCTGCGTGCAGATCTCTGCAGCCACGCCTTGCCCTTGCGCCGCAGGCTCTGGGCTTGGTTTTCCCCGGTGTCTGGGGTTCCGGATCCAACCCAGACAATACCTGCTTCCTCTCAACGATTCTAGCCCCAAACTATAAACAACCCTGTGCCAAATGCTTCTGTAGCCGTACTGTTGGCTGAAAACGGCTGTTAACGCCGGTTGGGCCACAGTAGAAATGTACCTCCTTATCTCATCCGTCCGGCCTCTCCCTCTTAGAGGAATTGTGGTTTTGCTTAAAAAAAAAAAAGTTATTTCTTGGATATTTTGTTTGCATGCACGCCTGTACATTATATGCGTGCCTGGTGTCCTGGGAAGCAAGAAGGCAGTGGATCTCCTGGAGTTGAAGTGATAAGGGTTTTGGGCACCATGTGGTTCCTGGGAATTGAACTTAGCTCTTCTGGAAGAGCAGCCCATGCCACTGAGCCATCTCTCCAGCCCAGGGCTATTTTTGTTGTTGGCTTGTTTATTAACATGTCCAAGTCCAGATACACGGGCTAACATTAGTTTAATCAATGCGTGAATGTAATTATATATAATAGTGATAAATTATTAGATGTTTGCGTTTTGTTGTGAAAATGCTTAAATAATAATCACGCAAAAATTAAGTCATTTTGTTACTAAGCGTGAGCAGCCATGAGCCTGTGTCCCAACACTGGCCTCTAACAAGCCAGTTAGAAGAACCAAGTTAGTAGTGGGACGCAGGAAAAGACCTTCAAGGTGGCCATCCTGGAAAGATGGACAAAGTGGGCGGTCCTGCGTACGCCCAGGGCTCTGGAGGCAGAGGTAGAACTTGAGTTCAAGGCCACCCTGGTCTACAAAGCAAGTTCCAGAACAAGGCTAAACAAAGAAAAACTATTAGGGTGAGAAGAAAGAGCCTCTTTAAGACACCTGCATTGCAGCCCAGCTTGGTGGCCCATGCCTTTAATCCCTGCGTTTAGGAGAGGCACTGGCTGGATCTCTGATTTCAGGTCCAGCCTTGTCTACAAAGGGAATTCCAGGATAACCAGGGCTACACAGAGAAAGACTGTCTCAAAAAACTAAAAACCAACTAAACAAACAAAATCTTCATTTTTACCATGACAATGACAATTTTAGATAGCATTGAATAAGCAGCAAAAACGCCATGTAATTTATATACTCGCTAGAGCAATTAAAAACCAGCCACTTCATGAAAACAATATTGCCTCCCAAGCCATACCAGAAGAAACCAAAACCGGCCAAAAAAGGAAATTTGAACCTTCAGTTTTTCAATCTCATCCATTTTACAGTTAGGTCCTGAAATCTAAAGACTGTAGAAACTTTTACAGCTTAGCAATTTTATGAATTCTTTGTCACTGGGTTCAAAAGAAAATGACCTGTGTCCTTCTGACTGGCTTCAAGGCCCTAGCAGGGAAAACAAATAGAATGTGTAACAGACCTGGTTGTAGACCAGGCTGGCCTCAAACTCACAGAGATCTCCCTGCCTCTGTCTCCTGAGTGCTGGGATTAAAGGCGCGCATAACCTTGCCTGGCTAGAACTAACATTCCAACAGCAAAGTTTTTCTCTTTGGTGACATAGTCTTGCTATCTCTTGGATGATCTGAAACAGGTGATCCTTTTGACTCAGCACTGGGGTTTACCCCATCTCCTGTGTCTCCTTTTTTGGCTTGACAGCAATAATGAAAATAAAAATTAGTCCGAAAACAAGAGTATTTATTTGCAAAAGTTGGGTCCTTGATGGAAAATATATGTGTGGTTTTGTTTTGGATTCTTAAGCTCAATTTAAGACTAGTGGAATGGTTCAGTGGGTAAAAGCACTGTCTTCCAAGCTCCAAATCTGACCTCCACGTACACCCCTGTTGTGCCTATATAACATACACATATGCACTAAACTTTTTTTTCATACAAAAGTCTGGTTACAGCCCCCCTCCCGAGGTAGTTTTTTTAATATGAAGATTCTAGGCATAGGCCATAAACCACAAGATTGAGAAGAATAGCATACATTAAAGAGCAAAGGAAACTCAGGATGGCAATACGATTTAAATGTGAAATGTTCCCCATAAGCATATATGTCTGAACGATTGGTCCCTGGCTGACAACACTATCCAGAGAGGTTGTAGGACTTTTAAAAGGAGATGAGGGTGAGACCTGGGGCACTCACAGGGCATTGGACCTTGAGAATTATAGCCTCACCGGGCTTCCAGTTGCTTCCTGTTCTGATAGGAACTAAGGAGTCCTGGCTGCACAACTGTCTCCATGGAGCTGCCCGCTGCCGTATTTTTCCCACTGTGATGGGCTATATTCCCTCACTATTAGCCAATTTACATCCCTTAAGCTGTGCTTCTCAGGTATTCTGTTACAGTGCAGAGGGAAGCTCAGTAATAGAGCACAGTGCGTGCAGTGCCCTGAAACAACAAGGCACAGAAGAGGCTCCTCATACTATAAACTACCGTAGGACTTTCCTTTCTCTCCCAATATATATAAGCACATCACAGAGACACGTGCCCATGCACATACAGAGAGAGACTGGTGTGCATATGTGCTCGTGTGAGTGTATTAGGGCCCAGAGAAAGCCTTGAAACTATTCCAATAGCTAATTGAATGGCGAAGTGCCTGCCAGCACCAAGATCCAACGTGATATGAGGCTGGGTTAGTAACCCAAGTCAGCAAATAGAGTTCTCAATCATACGCCAGGGCCAGGCTGCTGAGATCCAGGTCGGGGGTCCAAGCCAACTGTAGAGGGACTTTAATTCAGCAACCTGGGTGCTCTGGCTGGAATACAAGCACATCCTTAGCACACACCTTTAATCTCAAACAAAGAAGGTTGCTGGAGCCTGCCGGCAAACACTGCCTGAGTGGGGAGTGAGGATTGAAAGAAATAAAGCAAGACAGAAGGGATCAGCTCGAGAGGACTGTCGGTAAAAATTGCAGCTGGAAGTTTATTCCACAGTTCTTTTTTATAGGCAAAGCAAAACAAGTCACATCAATACAAGAAAGGGGTTCATGGAACTGCCAAACTTGTTTTCTTAAACCACTTTCCTGTAGCAGATATGGTCTTGAGAAATGGGACCATCCCAGACTAGAAAGAAAAACAACTGGACCTTGAATGAGGGCCAGCTTAGACAGAAAAACAGCTAGGGCTACTGAACCTTGAAAATAGGCCAGACCCGATGGCCCTCCCTAGAGGACAGGATGAGCTTATTTTGAGATAAGAAACCTGGGGCAGGGAGGACTGCCCTTGGAAGAAGCTACAAGCTGCCAGCTGCAAAACTGTTATCTTTCTGCTGACTAGTCAATGTAAAGAAACGTGTGGTCTGATTTTTAGGTATAAAAACTCTGTGCTTTGTATGCTTGGGGTTGTCTCCTGCCTTGAAGGGGCGACCCCCATCACGATTGGAATAAACTAGTGCCTCTTCTTTTGCATCGAACCACGGTCTGTGAGTCTCATTAGGAGGGGAGTGGTCCGGAGTTCCTGCAGCTGGAGTGCAGGTCTTGCATTGCCAAAGTTAGTATGAAGCCAAGCAGAGAAATTCAGTCAGAACCTGAGAGAAGCCAGTTTGAATCAGTGGGTTTGGAGAGGAGTTTGAGCCAGAGCAGCTGAGTTGAACCAGCCAGCCAGAGTTTAGAAAGAGATAGAAAGAGTGTGCTTATCCAGCAGTAAATCTCAGAGATAGAAAACATTCTAGGCCTAATTAGATTGTATGGAAGCTAGAAGCTTCCAGGAGTAGGCCTATGTTAGCAGATGGAGGCAGTAAGCCTTGGAGACAACAGTTGCATCAAGCGAATAAAAGTTACTTTTACAGGCAACAAGGGAGAGCCCTCAAGTATCCTGACTGTCCTACTTTGACTGAGAGGTCAGATGAAGTCATTGTCAGCAGAGCACAGACACATTGCCTAGGACACCTAAGCCTGTCTCCACTAGAAACCCCATCAGAACTACAAAGTGGGAGAGCCTACCAAGAAATATTCACCACCCCTATCCTTGGTAACTGGGTTCAAGCACCAGCGATGGAGTCCTCTTAGTTTCACAAGGTTTTTCTTCTGTCAATGGAAGTGCACTCTTTGTCATTGTTGCTGAACACACTTGCTAAAAATCCCAGCACTGAGAAACTTCTGTTTCAGAATGTGACTTTGGAAGCCACAGAGGTACAAGGACCTACAAGCAGAGTGAAGAACAAATATGCCAGCCAGTGCCATGGCTGAAGTCCTGGCTTAGTTTGAAAAACACCTCACAGTTGACACAAAATACGTGAGGTCACAAGGCATACAGATCAGGTGATAAGTCAAGGACTCCTGAATGTCAAAGCCAGGATTATTTAACACACATTTTATTTTATTATTACTATTGTTATTGACGCAGGGTCTCTCAATATA